AGAAAATTATATTCAGGTTGACTTTGATATCGATTAAGGAAATACATTAATGGGAAAGTACAGTTCACTAAATCGAATATATTTGTTTTTTTTATTTTGATGAAGTTCAATAATAATAAAAAAAAAGAGAAACATTAATTTGGTCATTCTACTTAGCTTTCCGTCAAGGAGGAAAACCAGATCATTAAAAATATAATTTTCTATCAAACAAAACTAGAAACTAAAAACTATAAAATAGCTCTTTATTGTTTCTGGCTCAGTTGTTTACTTACGAGTTTATTTAACATATAAACATTACCATGTGCATGTTGCTTTTAAATTCAACTTGTTTTTTCTTTTGATTCGAATTTTGTTCTATATTTTATATACATTTTAGTAAATGATTTCTTTACTTTTCGAAACGTTTTTCGTTTATAAGAGGATTGAGCAGGAAATTCTCAAAATTTATTACTTATTGTTGGTAACTAACTTAATATATGACATACCAAAGAAAATGATGAGACATACGAGCATTAGTTTTAATCAACTAAGAAATGACACTGAACACTGACAATTAGTAACTACTAATTACGTCTCTGCATAATGTGCCATAATAAAGGTTCTATTGCTTATTTATACTAAACTGGTTACATGATATATCAGTTATTATTTATCATAAGTATGACCGTTTAGTCAATTAGATACATATCAAGAATCTGGTCGGTTAGAAAACGTGAATCAAGCGACTTCATCAGTCAGATTTTAAATATGTTTTAGAACTAAAAACGATTATATTAAATCAAAACATGATTATTATAAGTTAGAGCTATAATTAAATTCTAAAATCTATAAATATATATTTAAAAATATGTAATGACTTAACATAGAAGTATCTTATGCAAATAACTTTTATGTTTGATTGAAGGATGACTAGTATAAAAAAATTGAATGAATGAAATAAAGAATTAAGTTGATCTCGATCTCATAAATTGAAACACCTATCATTATATTTATTAACTATAAGATTAATTTATCTAGCAACCAAAGCCGACTATTGTTTTTGGGCTTCACAATACTTTTTTTGACCACTCCCTCACCCCAAAAATTATGGAATCATTTTCTTGTTTAACATGAATTATGTTAGTCATAAACACTGATCAATACAAGTTCACATTCGACTATTCATACAAACGTACATCCTAGAAAATATTCAACCAGAAGATAATTAATAGATAAATACAAACTTACTTCAACCCCACAATTACAAATGTATTATGCATCATGATAGATACTAGATAAAACCAAAGAAGAAACATGGTAACATAAGAATATCTACTTAATGTGGAGAAAGTAATTAGCTCTAGTGTGTAAGATGAATCTCTTTTTACTAGAAAGCTGGAATAAAACTAATACTCTGAAGAGTTATAATCTTCCATACCAAAAGGCTCAGAAGCCTAGTAAATTAATGACAAGAACCGGAACATTACTTGCATCAACTTATGTTGAAGGCTCCCCATTGAATGAGCACAACAGCTGTCAGGGTTATGATTTCATGGTGACATAATCTGGAAACATCAAACTTTCACTTAGAAGAAAAATTACAGATAAACTATTCTTTTTAATTTAATATATTATTTAATCATTTAAAAATAATATAAAATATTAACATAATTGCTGGTTGGAATTAACTATAGTATATACAAAACTATAATAAACATGATTATGATATAATTGATGGGTTGTTTTCGAAAAGATTAATTAGAGAGATTATATAAATGGAATTTGAGTTCAATTTTGATATCACTTTTCAATTTTAAAACTTAAACCCATTGCTTAATGCGTTTTTTTAGATGATAATATGATGCGAGACTTCAACTCATACTTACATTCTCAACAAAAACAACAACAAAAATATGGTTAAGATTCTGAACTTTGTGGATATTAAGATAAAGAATCTGGGAATTTGCCAATACTATGATGAGAAGCATAAAATGGAAGAGATAAAAAGTTGTCATAGAAGTTGATTTTCAAGGATGAAAGTCCATCTTCAATAACAGATTTTTCCACCAACACAAGGTACATGGTCTGCATATATATGAGTAAGCAGCATTATGAATAGATAATGCACAACTACAGCGTCCATTCCTCCATTATTAGATTAAGATTTAATAACCATGGTATAGCAGCTATCATCTGAAGAAAAAGGGAACACATATCACGCTATACCAAAAAGGTTAAAGAAAAATCTCTAAGGGCAGCAATGAGAACTCCAGTAGCAAACGATATCACAGAAAAAGCGACCTGAAATTCGAGAGAAAACTGTATGTAAGATATATCAGTTCAAGAAAGGAAAAGAACAAAATGCTAAAGTGAAAATGCATCTTTGTCAGTTACCAATACAAAACACAGTACCAAATCAGAAGTCTTAAAACTGCACCAAAATTTAAAGGAAAAGTAATAGATATGTCAAAGAAAACATTTCCTCTCTTTATCTCCTCCACTCTCCAACAAGATATGCTGAATCAGAATTCTGAACTACAACAAGTCTAGCCATTTCACTTTACCTGAGTCAGTCAGATGAAATCTGATCTATTACACAGCCTATATGAAAGGCTAGGAACTAGAGTCATGTATGAACTTATTTAAAGATCAAGGCAACTACCCCCAAGTAAGGGAATTCATTAGGTGAGTCTTGGAGAGAATTAAGACATGGTGGAGGGAAGGAAAGGGTGAGGAAATTCGTATCCAAACTCTACATTCTTATCTCTGGCTTTTTTCTAAATTTCTTCCTACTCTACATATTATTTCTTTCCATTTAATCATTAAGTATTACTGATACATTCGTATGCTATTAGTCCTTGAGTCATCATGTTATGGTTCAAGTTTATGCATTCACTAGGTAAACTTAAATTGAATAAAAGTTAATGTATTAATCATGGAGGATAGTTAATATATTAGTGGTTAGAGTCTTATGAACAGTCAATGTGTTAGTCCTCAATAATCGTTTTTGTCTAGATCGAATAAACAGTAAAAAATATGTGAGTTTATAAATTGTATTGGTGATTGCATGAAACAATAATAACATGTGAATCAAGTTTTTCCAATGAAAAAGTTTGGTTTTCTACATTGAATAGTATGAATAAAAGTTTTCTTCATTGGATGTCCTTAACTTCTGCTTATGAACCACATTAGCACACACTAAATCCGCTCGTCATTGAACAGTCATTCTAGCTTATATGTTTGACGTTCACAGGCTCTAATAAATCTCTTTCCTTAACATTTATCCAAAGAAGCCAATCAAAACCCAGAGAAAACCAGTGCAAACACATACCTGACAGCCACACCCTGGCGCAGACAGCGGCGCTCCGGCAAGACGTGACAGCGGCGAACAACTTTGAATGGCATTCATCGCCTGTGAATGTGGTCACGGATTGGGTATGTTAGGGAATAAATTTAGAGTCTTTCACCGCCTAACTGCTCGTAAACTGCCATCAACTGCTCAAAAACTGTCCTTTATAAACTGTCATTTCCTTCACTGCACTGCACTATGAGATTCTCTCAGAAAATGGAGATACAAGCACGCACACTCATTGCCATTTCACTCTGCGCTCTCTCTTTCTTCTCAGTTTATTGTTCTCAATATCTTACTTCAGGTTACCATGAAGCAGCACTTTTAAATCGTTGAAAAAAATAGGTTTTGTTTGCACCATCCTTACTTCTTTTTCTTCATTTGAGACAGATAGATCACAACTTCCCCTGTTCGCTTTTAGTTGGTGGGATGACAAGGGCACATTCCAGGCCGGTGACACAGCAACCATCAAAGTAAAAGTGCTTGAGAATGCTGATAAGATTGACAAAAAAGTTTTCAATCCCACACTAACTGTGAATGGAAAGGAAGGGAACAGTTCCTATGTGTCTACTGTGTTGTCAGATTTCGAAGGAGACCCAAATGAATGGAAGATCTTCTTCACACCCATCAGGGTTGGATTGTTTAATGTACTCATCAGTGAGGAGCGTTATAAAGTTGATGATTCATCTTTGCATTTCCAAGTTGAACCAGGTTTACTTTTTAAACTGTCTAATAGAACTGAATGATTCATTGGTAGGTAGGTAGGTTTTGATGGAACTAAAACTAACTACCCTTTTAAATCACTTCAAGGATTCTGTTGAAAGTAAAAGGAAAACATCACTCCTATGCAAAATGGGAACGAAGAAAATTTTATTCATTCTAGTTCATACCTTGGTGTTCTATTACCTATCAGTGTAGGGTACGTTGGTTTTGTATGTGCCAGATAGTAAAGTAATGCTTGATATTATCGTCCTACTGAAGGGAACATGTACCCGTCTGTGTGCGTTGCATCATGGAAGGGAGTGAGACATGAGTACGAAGCTGGTTCAAAAGCTACGCTTATGGTGCTACTTAAAGATGCATTTGGGAACGGTATCTCTAAGACGACTCAAGTGTCCTATTTGCCTGATTTCAAGTTGTCTGTTTTGCATGAAAATGGATCTGTTACAAGTGCTCCAGATATCTTTAACATGGGGTGGACTGAGTTTGATTATATAGTCATTGAGTTTATTGTGACAAAAGCTGGAAAGTTCTCATTGAGCTTAGAAGGAGGAAATCAAACCTTGAAGGGTTCTCCATTACCATTGAAGGTGAATCCAGGTTGTGTGCTTTTTGTTTCAATTATAATTAAGTGCTATATATTATATTTGGACCACCTTGATTACATGCTTGAGCTTTATAGACAAACAGTTTCAATATAAATTTCATACGTGGGGTTTGTTTCTTTGTTTCTTCCATATATCATTTTATTACTTTTACAAGCAAATCTACAATAGCTTGACCTCTCTCTCTTACTCAATTGCCAGGAGCTATAGATGTCTCTAACTGTATCGCCAAATGGAACGTTGAATCTCATGCATGGCAATTGTCTTCCAAGATGGAAATCTTTATACATCAGTTAGATAAATACGGAAATCTGGTTTCTGGACTGTATCCTTTTGATTCTGAAGTTGTTGAAACTGACACAAACTTGTCGATACCGATATCAGATCTCCATTTTCAAGAAGTGGACGCTGGAATTCAGTTGTTTTCGTTTAGCAATTTTGAGCCAGGGAACTTCCTATTGACAATATATGATTCCAAGCATAATAAAAGCATTTCCAACATGCCATATGTTTATACTGTTTTTATAGGTAAAGTTTCATTCCGAGTCTCTAAAAAAAAATGGATTTGTCGTTTGTAACATCATTTTGTTTTCACTCTTGTTTTGATCGTTTACTATAACTGATATAAACATTGTATTTTTCCTTCTCCTTCATCTCTCTCTATCTATCAGTCTGTGTAGCAAAAAAGCCGAAGCTGGCTTTTCACTATAAGTAGTTTCTTACACTGTAGTTACTTGCATAATCATTTCAGCATGAAAAATCTAATTTCTTTGTCATGTTCCTTTTCAAATAGGTTACTGTGATGGGGTTAAAAGTGTTGTTAATGGATCAGGTTTAAATGATTCAGTAGCTGGTGTAAAGGAAGAATTCTCTGTGTATTTGAATGACATCTATCAATATCCTTCCCCTGTCCAAGCAAACATACTTCAAGTACAAATTTCAATAGAAAATGACTCGTACAGAGTTATGCCAGTCATATATCCTGTGCATGACAATAATGGTATTTTCAAAGATAAACTTCTTGCTACATTCATGTATGAAATTGATTATTTTTTTTATTGTTATAATTGTATTTGACATCAGGGAGCAGAATAGCTTCAGGATTGAGATATGATGGTATCGGTCACATGGAAACTGTGCCATCATCTTCAATAGTGTTGAGAAACAATGTAAGGAAGACAAAAGTTAATTTTTGGTGCATAATTAGTAAAGACTCTAATGAAGTTTCACAATGTTTTCAGTCTAATGGGAGTGGGAGCTTTATCATGGCAAGTGATTTTCGTGTGGATTACATACCAGAAAAAAGTGGATTTTATGATATTAATGTATATTGTGGAAACATATTATTGAATGAGGGACATTCTTTCCGAAAAGAGGTAAAAGCAGGTACAATAATGTGCATTATATGAAAAGGAATGATTTCATAAGGTTGGCATCAACTTATACAAAGAAAAAAAATGCTTTTTTATGCACTACTTCATCTCATGGTAAACCTTCCTTATTTGCACGACAATCAAATTAAATGAATTGAAGGAATGAGAGAAGAAACTCAACCCCACAGAAAGAAGAGTTTTTAGTAAAAGGAGGCTTAGTGATCAAATGTTTTTTGCTTCCGAAGTAATATAGATATAATTATTCATGTATTTTCCCTCAATTGCTTAAGTTGTTTATTTGGTCTTTATGATATAATATCAGTACCTCTATAATCAACTAAGCTAGAGTTCTATTGGTGTTGCCTTCATTCTTCACAAAGTTGCATTATCCATTCTTCAAGCCTCGAAGATTCTTGCATAGAGGAGTCTGTTACATATAAAATGATTAATGTGCATTCACGGAACAGCTTAAGCTTATCCTGCAAAATATTTCAATAGGATATAATTTTATTGCGAGGTTTATTTAAGTTTTGCTCATAATTTTCACATATATTTATTGTTTTACTCCCAATCATTTCTCATGATATCCCCCTAGCTTGCTGCAGGTGAAGTAAATGTTTCCTTGTCAAGTGTCATGAGGTTTTCTCCAAAGGTGCCAAAGCTGTCCAAAAATGAAATAGTTGTCCAGCTTGTGGATTCTTATTTAAACCCTGTCCTCTCCCAGCAATCAAGGTTGAAATTGGAGATTGCTTCTGTCAATAGTTCTGGCTTTTCAACTTTGGACATTACAGACAATAAGGATGGATCATACAGCTGCAGTTACATGGCCAAAGATGTTGGCACTTACGAGATTTGTGCTTCCTTTGATGGCAAAAGTTTCTTATCATGTCCCTTCAGTATCAATGTGTACAGCAGTAAGTTCAAAGAACATGCACCTTATATTTTTATCCTTGTTATTATTTTGGTAAGTATGCTGCTTATTTTACTCAGATATATATATGTGTCGTAATTATTATATCTCTATATGCTTATATATTGCTGCTGTTAATGGGACCTTTTCCACACACCTTCCATTATCTGACCAGTTTTCAGACCAAGTGAAAATATGTCTGCTTTTAAAGTTTGAATTTTCAAGTTCAGAGATCTGGGGTTGTCTAATTTACTCCAAGAATATCTTTTTTTAAGGATTCTTTTGCTTGGCTTGCAGGTGACTATTTTCCAAAAGCCAACAATGATACAATATCTATTTGGGAGGACCAATCCGTTGCCTTTGATGTCTTAGCAAATGATTATTTTGCTGGTGATAATGCAAGTATAGTTGAATTCTCAAAAGTAAGATATCTTGTGAATGCATACTAAAATCTCTTCATAACCGTCTTTTTTCTATTTTATATATATATATATATATGTTGATTCTGATTTTCACCAGTAAAAATCCTATTATGATTTACATTTTGGAAGATGATGGATGTTGACAAAGAAATGGTTTATTATCTTCAAAACATTTCATTATCCGTCAGTGATCTAGAATACAGTCAAATAGTAAATATTCGACTCAATATTTATTCTCTGCATAATAAAAAATTATCATTAACTTGCTGTAATTTGTGACGAACTAAGTTTCAGGATTACTGTGCAATGTCCTTTTTAGAGAGATGTGTCTGAAGTTGCTAATAATCATGAATATTTCGATTCTTTGTCTTCATATTTTTTTTAATATGAGAAATGGTTGTTTCTACTGCATTATTTCAGTCAGATCACGGTTCACTTATACAGAATGGAAGGATCTTTCGGTACACTCCTTATAAAGGGTATTATGGAAATGATTCCTTTTGGTATACAATTTCTGATATAAATGGAAATCTTGCTTCTGCTTCCGTGTGCATATTTGTTCTCAATGTTCCACCTCAGTTTGTTTCTGCTCCAAATCAACTGCAAGCAACAGAAGATTCAATAAGTCCTAGATTTGGGTATGTATAAGCTACATATGTATAAATATTTCTTAGAAAATGGTTTAATTGAACTGCCCTTATGTGTACAATCTTGTTGTTCCCCTCTTGCAGTGGTTTCACCGGGTTTGAGATAACTTATTCAAATCCTATGGAAAATATTTCTGTCAATCTTAGTGCTCAATCTGGAATTGTACTTCTGTCTCCTATGGCTATGCAATTTGGGCAAGTAATGTGGAGTGAACTTACAGTTGACACAGGAAATGAAACTGCAACCAGTTTAATAATAGAAGGCTCTGTGGAAGTTATTAATGTTGCGCTTCAGTCAATTCAGTATCTGGGGTATTTTTTACATATTTTTTTATTGCTTAAATTCACTAAAACAATTCTATTTTTCGAAAAGTTTTGTAAATTCTACGTTAACTAGAGATAAAACATGTTTATAGTATATAAGTGGACGTAAATTTCATATTACAAGTAAATTGGGTAAGATTGAGTTATGCTTAAAATTGACTTCTCAACATGTTATCTGTCTTATCTTATCGAGCTGCACTTTCATAGTGACACTTGCCAACATGTTTAATGTTTACAGAATTATATCACATGCTCATGAATCAAAAAATGTCAAGAAACACCAAAATATTTTCTCACTATTGCTTTTGTATGTCTTTTCTATCCAACTCTGTTGGTCTAAGAAGTAATTCCACATGACTGAGCTTTAGTAAATCAGAAGTCATAAGTCTCATAAAACATGTATTATTACTAGTTTGGAAAACATTTATCACGTAGAAATGTAGATCTGGTTTTCAATTATTGTTTGTTATTACTGTTAATAATCCTGGTGAATTTTGTTCTTCAGAAATGAAAATTTTTATGGAGGAGATACCATTCAAGTCTCAACCAGGAATAAGAACGGAGTAAATTCACTTGGTGTTCCAATTTTTGTTGATCCTATCAATGACCCTCCATTTATTAGAGCCCCCTACTTCATCATATTGAGGAGTAATGAAGATGAGACCCTTATCTTTGACCAAGAGAAAGATAAGTTTGACTTTTTCATTGGAGATCCCGATCTTCTTACCTTCCCTGGTATGGNAACTGTATCGCCAAATGGAACGTTGAATCTCATGCATGGCAATTGTCTTCCAAGATGGAAATCTTTATACATCAGTTAGATAAATACGGAAATCTGGTTTCTGGACTGTATCCTTTTGATTCTGAAGTTGTTGAAACTGACACAAACTTGTCGATACCGATATCAGATCTCCATTTTCAAGAAGTGGACGCTGGAATTCAGTTGTTTTCGTTTAGCAATTTTGAGCCAGGGAACTTCCTATTGACAATATATGATTCCAAGCATAATAAAAGCATTTCCAACATGCCATATGTTTATACTGTTTTTATAGGTAAAGTTTCATTCCGAGTCTCTAAAAAAAAATGGATTTGTCGTTTGTAACATCATTTTGTTTTCACTCTTGTTTTGATCGTTTACTATAACTGATATAAACATTGTATTTTTCCTTCTCCTTCATCTCTCTCTATCTATCAGTCTGTGTAACAAAAAAGCCGAAGCTGGCTTTTCACTATAAGTAGTTTCTTACACTGTAGTTACTTGCATAATCATTTCAGCATGAAAAATCTAATTTCTTTGTCATGTTCCTTTTCAAATAGGTTACTGTGATGGGGTTAAAAGTGTTGTTAATGGATCAGGTTTAAATGATTCAGTAGCTGGTGTAAAGGAAGAATTCTATGTGTATTTGAATGACATCTAACAATATCCTTCCCCTGTCCAAGCAAACATACTTCAAGTACAAATTTCAATAGAAAATGACTCGTACAGAGTTATGCCAGTCATATATCCTGTGCATGACAATAATGGTATTTTCAAAGATAAACTTCTTGCTACATTCATGTATGAAATTGATTATTTTTTTTATTGTTATAATTGTATTTGACATCAGGGAGCAGAATAGCTTCAGGATTGAGATATGATGGTATCGGTCACATGGAAACTGTGCCATCATCTTCAATAGTGTTGAGAAACAATGTAAGGAAGACAAAAGTTAATTTTTGGTGCATAATTAGTAAAGACTCTAATGAAGTTTCACAATGTTTTCAGTCTAATGGGAGTGGGAGCTTTATCATGGCAAGTGATTTTCGTGTGGATTACATACCAGAAAAAAGTGGATTTTATGATATTAATGTATATTGTGGAAACATATTATTGAATGAGGGACATTCTTTCCGAAAAGAGGTAAAAGCAGGTACAATAATGTGCATTATATGAAAAGGAATGATTTCATAAGGTTGGCATCAACTTATACAAAGAAAAAAAATGATTTTTTATGCACTACTTCATCTCATGGTAAACCTTCCTTATTTGCACGACAATCAAATTAAATGAATTGAAGGAATGAGAGAAGAAACTCAACCCCACAGAAAGAAGAGTTTTTAGTAAAAGGAGGCTTAGTGATCAAAAGTTTTTTGCTTCCGAAGTAATATAGATATAATTATTCATGTATTTTCCCTCAATTGCTTAAGTTGTTTATTTGGTCTTTATGATATAATATCAGTACCTCTATAATCAACTAAGCTAGAGTTCTATTGGTGTTGCCTTCATTCTTCACAAAGTTGCATTATCCATTCTTCAAGCCTCGAAGATTCTTGCATAGAGGAGTCTGTTACATATAAAATGATTAATGTGCATTCACGGAACAGCTTAAGCTTATCCTGCAAAATATTTCAATAGGATATAATTTTATTGCGAGGTTTATTTAAGTTTTGCTCATAATTTTCACATATATTTATTGTTTTACTCCCAATCATTTCTCATGATATCCCCCTAGCTTGCTGCAGGTGAAGTAAATGTTTCCTTGTCAAGTGTCATGAGGTTTTCTCCAAAGGTGCCAAAGCTGTCCAAAAATGAAATAGTTGTCCAGCTTGTGGATTCTTATTTAAACCCTGTCCTCTCCCAGCAATCAAGGTTGAAATTGGAGATTGCTTCTGTCAATAGTTCTGGCTTTTCAACTTTGGACATTACAGACAATAAGGATGGATCATACAGCTGCAGTTACATGGCCAAAGATGTTGGCACTTACGAGATTTGTGCTTCCTTTGATGGCAAAAGTTTCTTATCATGTCCCTTCAGTATCAATGTGTACAGCAGTAAGTTCAAAGAACATGCACCTTATATTTTTATCCTTGTTATTATTTTGGTAAGTATGCTGCTTATTTTACTCAGATATATATATGTGTCGTAATTATTATATCTCTATATGCTTATATATTGCTGCTGTTAATGGGACCTTTTCCACACACCTTCCATTATCTGACCAGTTTTCAGACCAAGTGAAAATATGTCTGCTTTTAAAGTTTGAATTTTCAAGTTCAGAGATCTGGGGTTGTCTAATTTACTCCAAGAATATCTTTTTTTAAGGATTCTTTTGCTTGGCTTGCAGGTGACTATTTTCCAAAAGCCAACAATGATACAATATCTATTTGGGAGGACCAATCCGTTGCCTTTGATGTCTTAGCAAATGATTATTTTGCTGGTGATAATGCAAGTATAGTTGAATTCTCAAAAGTAAGATATCTTGTGAATGCATACTAAAATCTCTTCATAACCGTCTTTTTTCTATTTTATATATATATATATATATGTTGATTCTGATTTTCACCAGTAAAAATCCTATTATGATTTACATTTTGGAAGATGATGGATGTTGACAAAGAAATGGTTTATTATCTTCAAAACATTTCATTATCCGTCAGTGATCTAGAATACAGTCAAATAGTAAATATTCGACTCAATATTTATTCTCTGCATAATAAAAAATTATCATTAACTTGCTGTAATTTGTGACGAACTAAGTTTCAGGATTACTGTGCAATGTCCTTTTTAGAGAGATGTGTCTGAAGTTGCTAATAATCATGAATATTTCGATTCTTTGTCTTCATATTTTTTTTAATATGAGAAATGGTTGTTTCTACTGCATTATTTCAGTCAGATCACGGTTCACTTATACAGAATGGAAGGATCTTTCGGTACACTCCTTATAAAGGGTATTATGGAAATGATTCCTTTTGGTATACAATTTCTGATATAAATGGAAATCTTGCTTCTGCTTCCGTGTGCATATTTGTTCTCAATGTTCCACCTCAGTTTGTTTCTGCTCCAAATCAACTGCAAGCAACAGAAGATTCAATAAGTCCTAGATTTGGGTATGTATAAGCTACATATGTATAAATATTTCTTAGAAAATGGTTTAATTGAACTGCCCTTATGTATACAATCTTGTTGTTCCCATCTTGCAGTGGTTTCACCGGGTTTGAGATAACTTATTCAAATCCTATGGAAAATATTTCTGTCAATCTTAGTGCTCAATCTGGAATTGTACTTCTGTCTCCTATGGCTATGCAATTTGGGCAAGTAATGTGGAGTGAACTTACAGTTGACACAGGAAATGAAACTGCAACCAGTTTAATAATAGAAGGCTCTGTGGAAGTTATTAATGTTGCGCTTCAGTCAATTCAGTATCTGGGGTATTTTTTACATATTTTTTTATTGCTTAAATTCACTAAAACAATTCTATTTTTCGAAAAGTTTTGTAAATTCTACGTTAACTAGAGATAAAACATGTTTATAGTATATAAGTGGACGTAAATTTCATATTACAAGTAAATTGGGTAAGATTGAGTTATGCTTAAAATTGACTTCTCAACATGTTATCTGTCTTATCTTATCGAGCTGCACTTTCATAGTGACACTTGCCAACATGTTTAATGTTTACAGAATTATATCACATGCTCATGAATCAAAAAATGTCAAGAAACACCAAAATATTTTCTCACTATTGCTTTTGTATGTCTTTTCTATCCAACTCTGTTGGTCTAAGAAGTAATTCCACATGACTGAGCTTTAGTAAATCAGAAGTCATAAGTCTCATAAAACATGTATTATTACTAGTTTGGAAAACATTTATCACGTAGAAATGTAGATCTGGTTTTCAATTATTGTTTGTTATTACTGTTAATAATCCTGGTGAATTTTGTTCTTCAGAAATGAAAATTTTTATGGAGGAGATACCATTCAAGTCTCAACCAGGAATAAGAACGGAGTAAATTCACTTGGTGTTCCAATTTTTGTTGATCCTATCAATGACCCTCCATTTATTAGAGCCCCCTACTTCATCATATTGAGGAGTAATGAAGATGAGACCCTTATCTTTGACCAAGAGAAAGATAAGTTTGACTTTTTCATTGGAGATCCCGATCTTCTTACCTTCCCTGGTATGGTATTCTTTCAATAAAACTGGTAGTGGTATTGATGGTTATACTAATTGTTTTCTGTATATTTTTAAGAACTCATGGTTCTCCATGTTGTTCTTGACATGATAATGTCAAAAGAAGGTTTGCAGGCTTAACAATCTGCTGATGGATCATATCAGGTGGTCAGGCTCGCTTTTTTGTGACGTTCTCCATGGAAGTAAATGATGGATGGTTGGTGACAAACCTACCAGTTCATTTGATCAATACAACTGAATTGAAGCACGGAATTAATTATCAGTGGCAGCCTCTTCAGACATATGTTACTATCTCAGAGCACTTTATGGTCAAAGCTCATGGAATCAGATTTCAGGCCACAGTCAATGACTGCAACAGTGTTATGCAGCAACTGTTCTATCATGTGAGTGAATGATTCTATTCAGTTTTTACCATGAACTTTGAGGACCAAACACGGTCTTCAATAGGCTCCCGTCATCAGTTAAATGTAAGAAAAAACAGACAAAATCATTGCCATGTGTTCCTTCACCACAGGTTCATGACACGTGTAGTAGAATATATGAAAATTTCCACTGCATAATTGTCTTGATTTTATACAGGGAGGTGAGCATGGAGCTGTTTTAACAATGACATTAAATGACATGGGAAACTACGGATGTTATCCAGATTGTGCAGATGGCATGTCAATGCCATTATACACAGAAGCTACTGTAAATTTAATGAGAAAACAACCAATGAGTTCATTTCTGGCTCACAGTAAGTTCTGTATTTCATAAATGATTTCAAAATTAGAGTCCTTCATCTTATCATAATGATTTCCATAATCTGTTTATCAAAAACAGAAACATAGATGTATTTCATTTCTGACTTACAATCTTGTTCTATCTTCTGTAACAGCCTTAGGATCAATCATTGTCATTGAATTTGTTATCATTTTCTCTCTTGGAGCCTTGCTTCTTTACTTCACCTGTAAATGTGCTATTCTTCTTGCACATGAAAGAAGAAACAGAGAAGAAAGTTCTTCAGAGTTATCTAATTCCAAGAGTTTCCCCAGAGAAACTGTAAGTGTGCATATATAGCCAGAAGAATTACTAAGTGTGTTGCGGAACTATTATAATTATTGAGATCAAGATGATAATTATTTTGAAAACTACACTAACATGCAAAATACAGAATTTCTTTCATGATTTGGAAGGTAGACATGGAAAAGTTAAAGGAGAAAATGGTTAATGATTTCTTTGCAGAAATAGTGTTTCGTGTTCAGTTAAGTTTACTCTCTTCAGTGATTCAGTAATATTAATAACCAATGTTGGAACTTTCAGGTGCCAAGTTGAAGAATCTATCAGCTAACCAATGTTATTCATGATCTGCTATGTATTTTATCTGAATTTTTATTATGCTAAAACAACACAGTTTCGGAAAGTATGTATAATGTTGTAAAAACAGTTTGAAAAAGAGTATGTGATCGTTATTTTCATGTTGAAAATTTATGTAGTTAATTTAAGTAGAGAAGTGATGAAGTATAATAATATGGTTTTTAAATATTAATTATATTTAGATTTCATTTAGTAATATTATAGAGTAAGAAAAAATAATAAATAGAAAATATAAGAAAATGTAAAATTTCTTTAAAACAAGTTGTAATGCATAAATAATAATATACTATATTATTATACCTAAAAATAAAATCCTTGTCATTTTAGTCCAAGATTATTTTGTTTGTTTTGAGATTTATCATTTTATTTTTAAAAGACCTTCAATTGATTTTGAAAACAAAAAATTATGTTTTATTTTAACTCAGTTGAAAAATTTTAGATCCTAACATTAACTGTCTTTCATAAAGTTAACTGATATATACTTATAAACTGAGAACTAATTTAGTATACATCTAGATTTAGCTGAAAAAAAATGTAGATAAGTACATTGTTGAAATTAAAATATTAATTTGAATCCTACAAGTACAAAGACAACTAAAATATTAGGTTAGATCTCGTGAGGACAGGATTGCATCTATAAATAGTAAAAAAATTATCAATCCTCCAAAAGTTAATTATAAAAAATGCAATATGAAAAAATTGAATAAACAATACAAACATCTTGTTCTTAAAATTCTCCACCATTTTTTATTTTATTACACAAAATTCATTAACCCAAATTCCCACTAGGTCATGGCAATGCACATGCCATGATAGTTTAGTAATTTGGATTTTTCCTCATACCCTTTCATCTTCCATGTTGACGCCAGTGTTTTTCCATGTCCCATGACAATGAAATAATAGGACCTTTCAAAAATAAAAAATCTACTTTTTCCCTCCAGCTTTAGCAGCCTCTACGAAACGTTGCCGTTTGGACCCCACAACCTCAATTCCCAACAGCAGGACCTCCTAGGGTTGGGTCCAACTTAACGGACAGAAATCTTGGCGCTACGTTGGTAAATGTCACTAACGTGCAAGTAACAAGTACTTTCTAACTACTCTGAATCTCATCATCCTCAATCCAAGAAAAACTGTTAATTAAGAAATTCACAAGAACTACCTTGGAATGGTCAAAACCAGTTGCATATATTAAAAGGGAGCAACAAACAAACATCAAAACGATGATCCATCCCAAATCAAACAAACAAACACCTTTGCTTAGGTTAAAAATTATAATAACAAAGAAAAAACAAGAAACACTGAAAGTTTTCTAGGTGACCAAGTATATGGGCATGGCTGAGGTAGACATCCTCCGCTGAAGTTGATGTTGTTGTTCCATGTTGAGTTCTCTTAGACTTATGTAAGGCGTGTCCACGTCATCCTTGGCCGGCGGCGTGAGGGTGCCGGCGAGCGGCCCGGAGGAAGGGCGGCTGGAAGTGCGGAGGGGCGTGGCGGAGCCGCTTCGGCTCTCGGTCCAGTACACGGGGCCCGAGATGGAAGCCCGGAAAGCCCGGGCTCGTGCCTGGTGGACGTCGTTTTGGTCAATGCCGTTGTCGCGGGGATGGGTCCAGCGCCACTTGAAAAAGAGGAGGGCGCTTCTCCACCAGCGCTTCTTCCTGGGCCTGTGGGCTTTGCTACGGGATTCGTCCTTGGAAATGGGCTTTTGGAGCTTGAAGTGGATGGAATCTATGGATCTCGCCGTCTCACGCTTGTGCTTCATGGCTTCTTCCAACACCTGTTTTGTAGAAAGCCAAAGTTTGTGAATGGAAAGAAAAAAAAAACATTTTTCCAAATGGGTGGGAAAGAAAAAGAAAGAGAAAGAGAAACCTGAAAATAGTTTATTTGAGGGTCAAAGCCATAGTCACTGAAATGTTGAGGGTCTGGCATTGGAAAAACTGGAGATTTGTTGGTCATTATGAGAAAATGGGTATCTGAAAAGTATGAACTTTGTTGGTGATATAAAGAAAAAGAGAAGAAGAAGAAGAAAGAGAGAGAAGAAGAAAAGTGAAAGTATGTTTGGTATGGTTTGTGAGTGGCTCAAGAGGAGTTGGTAAACACTAGTAAATGCAGTTTGGCTTCAAAGTTCACACCTTTTGGTATCTTCTATTTAATAACATCATTTATTACCTAAGTTACGGAAAGTGCAGGCAAAAGACAACTACTAATTGCTACATTTTCCAACCCAAATTATACTCAAATGGGACAAATAAATAGCCATGCACAAATTCTCAAACTATTTCTTTTGGGGATAACTATGAATACAAAATCAATTTTCAATAAACAACCTTATGTTAAATATGGGATCCATTTGCTTAAACTATTTCAAAAAAATAAATCTATAATTCTTTTAAAGAAATTATGTTTTGTTTTGACGAAAATGTTCAAAAAAATTAAATGTTAGTTTTAAAAACTATGCAAATGTTATTTATAATTGAAAATAAACTTTACCAGTGTCTTTAGTCGTTGTACCAAAATAATAAACCAAGGAAAATTCTAAAATAAGCTCGTGTTTAAATTCTGGATTAATTAACGGATTTCCGTCACACTTCCTTGTCGGAGCTTTTCGAAAGTTAATAATATATACTAGTGACACTATCTTTAAAGTTAAGAAAAATTAAGTTAAATATTAAATGTAGCATCTAAGAAAGCAATTTCTTAATGTAAATCAAATAAATCGTTCATTTAACATTAGAAGGTTTAATCAACGGTCAACATCAAAATTGGTATAAATTTTGGAAGTGTTTTTTTATAATAGAGGGAGAAACATATAGAGTATTTGAAAAAAAATATATATAAGTTATTACCAAATATGAAATCCGTTGCAAATATCTTTACGAACAATAAATTATTATTAAGTAGGTGGAAGCTTATTAATATTAGAAAATGGTTGATATTATTATAGATAAACAATAACTTTCTAACGGATTTGGGCCCACGATTAGTTGGGCCAGGCTGAATTGCTGGTCCATTTAGTTGTGACTTAGTTAGGTAGGTTGTCAAAAATTATTTGAACTTCACAAATAAATAAACATATATGCTTGGTACTAATCAATTATTGTTCTCATTTTCTTAGTCAGAACACTCATATTAGTAATATAAAATACTAATAGAAAAAGGACACAACGTACTAAAAATTTATAAATTTTAACAATTAATTAAAAGTTAAATATTTAATTTAATCATTCACCGAACTCTTTATTTTTGGGCAATCATTCATCAATCTTAAATATCTTAAAAGTTAAATATAAGATACAAATCAAACAATATATATCAATATTAACCAAAAATAAGATAATTAATAAAATACTATTAATTTATTTTAAAATTTATTTAAAAATATTATTTTTTTAACTTTATAAACAGGGTGAAGTCGGATCAAGATGGCGACTTCAAAAGGTAAAATCATCTTAGCTTGCATTAGTTTTGCTGATTTAAGATGAAGTTATAACGGCTTCACTTTTTTTTTTTCAAATTAAAACTTTTGTTATATGGCGGCTTTACTTTAAAACCTTTCTTTTTTCTATTATAAATGAGGTTATATGAGATTTAATGATTTTTGTTTCCCATTTTAACTTAAGTTGTCGTAACTATGAAGACTTTTGTTTAATTTGTTTTTATTCTAATTAGTTTTTAATTTTTATTTAAAGTAAAGTAAATTTTATTTATAATGAAATTTATTTTTTCTTTTTTTTATTTAATTAATATGATGTTTAAAATTAATTTAATTAATTGAATACAAAACATACAAAAAAAAGTTAGTGACATTATTAAGAACTTAAGAAAATTTAAAAATAATTAAAATAAAATTATTGAAATGAAAATACATATAAATGTTTATCTGTGTGAATTAATGTCACAAGCTAGCCTTCTTCGTTGTCTTCTAGGTCATTAATTTCTTCTATGTTCGGTAAATGGTTGCAATAACAGTACAACTAGCATAGTAAATTATTATTTAATATTATCACCAATTTGACCGTTGTCATCTTCACCATCCTCACTTTCATTATCATATCGCTTTGAAGACATTGTAGGTCGACAATAATCTATAGGTAGAGTTGGATTGTAAATGCGTGGTTGTAGATGTTATATTGTGACATGGACTTGGAAAGAAGTTAGATTGAGATGGAAAGATATTGTATGTAGAGGAACATTATTTACATATGAAGATGGAGCAGCTATGTTGTGAATATTGCCCATGTATCTAGACACTTGAGGAGACCGAAACATGCCAAATCAAGCACCATACTACACTTGAAACGGTTGATAATACCGAAAGAAGATCCAATATGGTTATATTGTGAAGGAGGTTGTGAATATTGAGGCTTTTTTTTTTGTTTCATAGTGATGGAATGTAATTGTTAATTTAATTTGAAAGTCATATATTAACATTTAAAATATATTAGAAAATGAACTTACATTGTCGTCTGAAAATGATGTTTGTTACGATGTTATGTAACGTATAGTATGTTGCATGTACATTGCATATATTGAATATCATCACGCAAACGGTCATTCTTGTGGAATTTCTCTTCTTCAATTAGATAGTTGTATCGATCATTCCATATTTCTATCCATTGTTGTTGATATTATTATGGCCAATTTCTTTCTATTCTTTCTCTTATATCTATAGTTGTATCGATCATTTCATATTTCCGCTCTTTTATTCTTTAAACATAACAACACTTCACACGTAACATCTTGTTTTGACCTTTNTGGTCAATGCCGTTGTCGCGGGGATGGGTCCAGCGCCACTTGAAAAAGAGGAGGGCGCTTCTCCACCAGCGCTTCTTCCTGGGCCTGTGGGCTTTGCTACGGGATTCGTCCTTGGAAATGGGCTTTTGGAGCTTGAAGTGGATGGAATCTATGGATCTCGCCGTCTCACGCTTGTGCTTCATGGCTTCTTCCAACACCTGTTTTGTAGAAAGCCAAAGTTTGTGAATGGAAAGAAAAAAAAAAC